TCCATCAACAGTTATCAAATGGTTGAAACATGTAAAATGTATCTACCCATAATCCTTGTCGGCCTCAGCTTTATAGCTTTTCTGGTGACTAACTTTATCGAAATAAGTATATATCTAATGAGATGCAAGATATCAAATGAGATGCAGAACGTAAGAAAAAACTTATTTATAATAATAATAATAACTTTATTTCACACATAATTCAGAAAGCTAACCACTTATTTACACTGAAGCTGTGCATAAGAGAAAAAAGCACAAATTTAAATTAGAAATGAAAAATTAATTAGTAACCACTAATAATACGAAAAGAAAATTCCTAAAAAGATCCCTAAAAAATTCTAAAAATTCTATAATTATTATTTTGTGTAAAAAATCTTTATATATATATATATATATATAATCTATGATTTGTGATGCATTAGTAATATATAATAAAATAATTAATTAATTATTTCCTTCTCGCCAATAATTAGTTGTAAAACTTCGAACAGATTTAGATAATTTGACGACATTACTTAAATCATTATATAATCTAGCAGCAGCGAAGGAAAATGATCGTTGACCAGATTTTGAAGATATCTTATGTAAATCCCGTCCACACTATGCATCTTAATTATATCTTAATATATATATATATATATATATTATCTATGATTTGTGATGTATTAGTAATATATAATAAAATAGATAATTAATTATTTATTTCTCGCCAATAATTAGTTGTAAAACTTCGAACAGATTTAGATAATTTGACGACATTACTTAAATCATTATATAATCTAGCAGCAGCGAAGAAAAATGATCGTTGACCAGATTTTGAAGATATCTTATGTAAATAAATGTCATTACGCCTTCTACTTGTTTATCATTTATTTATCTTTTTTTTATATATTTATCATTATTATTTAAGAATGTTCCCCAGCTGGAGAAGATGGTTCTCGAGGGACTTTTCTGGAGTGGCACACCTTTACTAGAATCAGTAGGAGAGAATGAACCCGAGGTGGTTCGACTAAGAGAAACAGTTCGTCAAGCCATAAGGTCATCTCTCAAACCTATTCGAGCTTATGCGAAACAATATGAGAAATATCTTGATCTGTTTAACTTGGACGTGAATGAATATCTACAGTAAGTATTGCAAAATGGGCGTTTTGTATTTCTGTGATACATCCATTATTTTGCTTTCTATAGCTATATACTGCAAGCTAAAAATTGTTTGTTAAAAATGTGAATTTTGTTAGTAACAATAAGAATATCATACTTAAATTTGTTTCAAAAAATTTTTTGCTCGAGATATTTGAGAAAATTAAGTACGTGCGCGCTAACTAATAGGGACCTTAAGCTGCAGGACGGCAACGACGACGACGACGGCAACCATACAATAGCACTAATTCAATAGATACTCGTTGGAATGTACGAAATAATATGCATCATTGCCGTCTTATGCTGAAAGTAAGACGTGAAATGTCCTATTTTCACGTACTAAAGAGAACGGCTACGCCAAATGCTTATCTTTGCTGATTTTCGTTATTAGTAAAGCGCTCCCAAAAGACGTCATTTCACTCTAAAACGGGGATGCTTATTGAGTAAAATACTAAGTAAACACGAAATAATAATACAATAGAAGGTTGAAGCGCCTCAATTTCGCCGACGTTGCCGTCCTGCAGCTTAAGGTCCCTAATGTCTCTCGTTGACGTCGCGACGTTCTGCACCAGACGTGGAACCAGGCAAAATGGCGTCCTGAATTAGGCGTCACGTTAGCGGCCGTTTTGAAAGCGTGCTCGCCGTCCTCTACCAGCTCGGTGTGGTGGTGTGGTGGTGGTTCTTTGGTGTGCTGATGATATCCTTAAGAGAATAATTTCCTTCCTCCCTAACTCGTTTCTCTCCGCTCTTAACGTATGTATTTAAAATAATATTGTTCCCAGACAATACGACTCACAAGAACATACAGCTGCAGAAGTGAAACAAGAGATAGAACGTCATTTAAAAGATAAAGAGGTGCTAGAAAACACCTTGCCTTCCAGCATAGTCATTGGTTCATACTGGGTCATGACTGAAGGAATCAAGAAAGAATTGGCTAAGAAACGAAAGACACTTGCTAATGCTGTTATTGAACTCCTGGCCAAGAAACTGAGGAAACAAGCTGATGAGGTAATTAAGGAGACTCGAATTGATTTTCTTAACACGCACGGTTGATGACGATAATGTTAGGATTTTTGGATCAAATTTTCATGTTTTTCAAAGCAAAAACTGTTCAATCAAATCTTTTTAATTTTGGATATGTTATTACACTTAGGTTTAAGGAGCTATTGTCGAAATATTAAAAAAAAATTGTAATGCGGAACTTTTATTATAGGTTTTTGCGTTATTTTCAGAATTCCTAATTACAGACATATTTCTCCATGCCCAATAGCTTTTTAAGCCTAAGAGGAAAAACTTATTCAAAATTAATAATATTTGACTGAACATTTTTTGTAGCAAAAAGCCATGAAAATCTGATTAAAAATATTATAACAATTTGTTAGCTATTATTTGTAGTTCGTCATGATTAGCCGTGCGCGTGCGCCTTCTGAAGAAAACCATTTCAAGCCTCCTTAAGTTGATAAATTATTAGACACCAGTGTCAACTTTTCTTCTAAGAAACGATATCTAGATACTGTTATCTGAAATCAGTGCCTATGACTCATATACCATATGTGACATTCCTTTGACATGGTTTTATACTCTGCACTGATATACAGGTCTGTGAAGAATTCAAGTTTATTGCACGTCGTCTTTACGACAAGCCAAACAGCATTGAGGAATTAGCAGAACAAAGAGAGTACATGAAGACTATCCCTGACCTGTTGAAAAAGAACCAAGAGCTGATTGACAAGGCTATGGTAGACTATGAGCTGATCGAGGAGTTCAACTACAGCATCTCAGCTGAAGACTTCTCTGCTAAGTATGTATAAATAAAATAAGATAAAAAATCTTGATTTTTTGTGGGTGTCAAATACAGCGTCAAGGGCTGGTTTCCAATTTGGGCCACTTTCACTCACATATGCTACCATGACATTCAATATTCTATGCACACAACGCTCAACTCACATGTTGATTGTGGAAGGAGGATGGCAGATAGCTAGTGTTTGCGAAAAACGCTTCTATAGAGCAGTTTTCGAATATGTGGGAAACATACGGTACTGACTTACAGGTACGAGGTACTACATACAAGGTACGAAATGCCGTAAACCCTGAAATGGCTTCCCATAGGTATGGTTATCGCATGAGCGGGAATTATAATGTGCGATAATGGAAATCTATTATGTTTTTATTCCCTTATAGATGGACGTGCATCAGCTGGCCATACAAGATTCAACAACAAATGGAAGCAACTGAGCAAACCCTCGAAGCAGACGAAGAACGCTTCCAGAAGAACCTTCTTGCTGATCAGAATAACTTCCAGGATCGTCTTGATTCCTTGAACATGGCCGTGGCAGGATTCGCCGCACACACAGATATCACTAAAGCACATGAGATAGGCAATGAGGTACGACGTCTGGTCAAACAGATGAAGGAATGCCAGACGTTAGCACATACGTATAACAACAGAGAAAGACTCTTTAACCTGCCTGTTACTTCGGTAAGATTCTAGATTCTTATAATAGACCCATTTCACGCTAGTCAGACATAAGATATTCGATTAATTGAAAAAAGGAGTTAACGACTTAATTCAAAGTTTCGTAGAGAGCGTTTTTGCAAAGAAATGTATGCTATGGGCATCGCATTCTCGGTGAACCTCGGGGCTATGGATTATGCCAGAGCCTTTGTTCTTCGCCGCAGACCATTAAAAAGCAGGCTCTGGGTACGAGATTGTCAATTTCCCCAACAAATGCTGCGCGCGCAATTTTTATTATCTTTTGTTTGAACAAGTTTAAATCAGTCTTAAGTAGTTCAGGTGGCGTTTTTGCGCGTACATAGTCATATATATCTTTTGATACTTTTAATTCATGAGGAGGCAAATCCAGACTGCGAGCGGTCCCACTTTTCTCTCCAAACTCAGTAAGGGCGAGGTTTTTGGGATTCCTGTGGACGCGCGTCCACAGGAATCCCAAAACACTGGTTTTTACTGAGCCTGAAGGGAAAAGGGGACTGCTTGTAGTCGAAGGCACATGTAGAGCAAAAGTTCAGCAATAAAATATAACAATCAAGGTGGAAGAATCGTATATTCATTTCAACTTTGAATCTGTTTCAGTACGAGAAACTAAATCGCTTGATCAAAGATTTTGAGCCGTTTAAGAACATGTGGCTGACAGCTTCAGACTGGCAGAAATGGCATGACAGCTGGATGAACGACCCACTAACGACCATAGACCCCGAACAGCTTGAACAGAATGTTAGCAACGCATTCAAGACAATCTTCAAGTGTTACAAACACTTTAAAGAGATCCCAGCTTGTCAGGAGGTTGCATATGAAGTCAAGGAAAAGATCGAAGCATTCAAGCCTTATATACCATTGATACAAGGTCTGAGGAACCCAGGAATGAGAAGTCGACATTGGGAACAGGTTGGTATCTTCGCCGAGAATCTCGTCTTTTTTCTGTGGTTTTCGTATTTCGTTCAAGACTAGCTGCTCAGTAAACTTTTGATCCACTGTATTGCTGGATTGCAAGCATTCCCAAGAGAGTCAAAAGACAAAAATATGGCAGCCATCTTGGTGCGGTTAACATTAGATGTTAATGAGAAATCATTAAAATAAAGTAAATGTGGTATGACTGTGAAAAAGCACAGTACACAGAACGGGATTGGTGACATCCTTTCAACCGGTCACAGTGCCACATGATGACTGTTTAGCCAATCAAACTGCTGGTACCTTACACCTACTTGATAGTATTTACCTCAGTGAAAGGCCATTTATTTATACTTACGACTCACTTCTGTTCTATTTTGTTTCTCCCATAGCTTTCAAAAGACCTTGGATTTCCTGTGGTGTGTAACGCCCAGCTGACCTTCACCAAATGTCTAGACATGGGCCTGCAGAACCATATTGATGTCATTGCTAAAATAGCTGAAGTTGCTGGGAAGGAATACTCCATCGAACAGGTTACACAACGATGCGCCCGAGCAGTGCATCCCACCTATGCCATCCATGCCATCCATGTCCTCCATGCTATCCATGCCACCCATTCTATCCATGCCACCCATGCCACCCATATTACCCATGCCACCCATGCTACCCATGCCATCCATGCTAACCATGCTAACCATTCCACCCATGCCACCCATGCTACCCATGCCACCCATGCTAACCATTCCACCCATGCCACCCATGCTACCCATGCTAACCATTCCACCCATGCTACCCATGCTAACCATTCCACCTATGCTACCCATGCCACCCATGCTAACCATTCTACCCATGCCACCCATGCTACCCATGCTAACCATTCCACCCATGCCACCCATACCACCCATGCTACCCATGCCACCTGTTTTACCCATGCTACCCATGCTAACCATTCCACCCTTGCTTCCCATGCCAACCAGTCATGCTTAACCATTCTTATTACTTCCCTAGGCACTGGATAAGATGGAGGGTGAGTGGAAGCCAGTTGTACTGGAGATTGTCCCATATAAAGACACAGGTACCTTCATTATGAAGGTTGGTGAAGAATGCTCACAGCTGCTGGACGATCACATCGTCATGACACAGAGCATGTCCTTCTCTCCATACAAGAAGCCTTTTGAAGAACGTATATCTACTTGGGAAAGCAAACTGGTTATGACCCAGGTGGGTACTTGTATCTACGATTAACCTGCGAAATAAAGGGTGCATTGAAAAGCACGTGTTTGCACTGTCCTCGTCTATAACCTGCTTCGTCTTTCGTTACTTATAATCCTGATAAGAGCAGTGCGCAACTAGAGCAGTTTTCGTATGACTGTGAAAAGCTCAGTGCCGTAAGCGTGACGTGCCGTGACCGTGATACTTTCTAGAATTTTAATTGGCTGATTTTTTTCACGCGCAATGTGATTGGTCTAAAAGTGCCGTGATCTTGGCGTGACCGTGTCCGCGCCGTGTTTATGCCGTGTTCCGGGTATTTGATTGGATGGAGAGTAAATTCTCGTGCAATGTGATTTGTCTGGCGTATCCTTTGCTGTGTCACGACCGTGTTCGTGCCGTGAACTTTTCACAGTCATACGAAGACTGCACTAACATCACTGCCACATTCAATGGAAACTACCCACCTACCGTCGCGATTTTCGTATGAATGAGGAGCCTACTGCATGTCTCTGTACTGTGATATAAACACGCTGGGAGTTGTAGAGCACGAAAGAAGTAAGCTTAGGAACACGAGGCGTAGCGGAGTGTCTCTCTTGCTTTTTGAGTGCCCAGCATCTCTGAAAGTGTTTATTTCCCAGTACAGAGGAAGAAGCAGCCGTTCTATATTCCTTTTGTGAAATGTTTTTAATCAAATTTGCGCGAGCGTGTACCAATCGTGAATAGAGTTTGTTGATATAACGTGCGCGCTGATTGGCCGGCTACCTTGTTTTATTACTTTGATAAAACAAGGTAGCCGGCCAATCAGCGCGCACGTTATATCTCATATATTTTATCCATCCAATAAGCGCGGTCGTTAAATTTCAAATATATGTTATAATCATGAATATGAGAATGATGATCATGATACATTTTCAACCAGGACGTGATGGACGAGTGGTTACAGTGTCAACGCAACTGGCTGTACTTGGAACCAATCTTCAGCTCAGAAGACATCAATAGACAACTACCAGTGGAGAGTAAGAGATATCAAACCATGGAGAGAATCTGGAGAAAAGTCATGAACGCCGCTAAAAGTAACCCACAGGTATTTATTTTGGAAAAGAATGATGACGATTATGATGATGATGATAATGACGATGATGATGATGACGATGATGATGATGACGATGATGATGATGATAATGACGACGATGATGATGACGATGATGATGATAATGACGATGATGATGATGACGATGATGATTGTGGTGTATTTGTGTTTTATTATGTACGATCGTCATATATAATTACATGTCAATCAATGCAAATCTAACATTTCCTCCCTTCTTAGTTATGAATCACTGTGATAGAAAAAATAACTCAATAATAATGTCTCTGAATGTTCATATCT